CGGTTTCAAAATCAGCAAAAAATTCTGCACAAAATAAGCTGGGTCCCATAACGAAACGCCACCTTGACCTTAGGTGGTTCCCTTGTCAGTTTTTGTTCCAGATCGCGGTAATTTCCTTTGGAAAAGCCCCGGTTCCCGTAGAAGTATAAATAAAGACGATTATCCCCGTTTTATATGGCATACAGCTCAATTTCGATGATGAACTATCAAAAAAACACTTGCAAGCCCGGACAGGACCGGTTTCCCGGTTATTTCTACGCCGAATTCGCACTAAAAGACCCTAGCTATACGTGGAATATCACATTCGTGCTGATGACGCATCAAAAACGGCCTTTTCAAGCACGAACAGGTTTAGTTTCTCTGCTAGATGACGCCTAGTTTCGCCGGAAAAGCCCCGTCGCCCGAATAACTATAAAATACCTGTCTTATCAAAGAAGTTGAGGGCAACGACGAGGGGCGTGAAGGGGCACGTGGAGGGCCGTCTTCAGAAGCCATCCTGTAGAAGAAGAAAAAGTTATTTGCTGGCGATTCTTTTAGGGTGAGGTGACGGAAGCAACCTAACGACAGTCTTATCACGAGGGTGATTGGATTCTGATGACGTCGGGAATTGATCGAAAACGAAAAAAGTTCGGAAAAATATTTTTCATTATAAAAATCAAAATTTCGAGGTAAATACTTTAATTTTTGGAATTGGATTTTTGGATTAAGCTTTGGAAGGTGCTGAATCCAAGGCCTTGTAGGCTTTCACGCTATTCTGCTAACGACGAGAATTGATTGAAAAGAAAAAGTTCGCAAAATGGATTTAACTCTGTCAAAAGTTTGTTTAATTTGCTATAATTACTTTAATTGAGTTTAACGGAAGCTTTATACCATGATTTATGCATTTAGAGCGATAGATTCTCATAAAGTGGGTGATTGTGATTGTGCGAAAATAAGAAAGTTTCGAACAGTTGTTTCCGTTCAAAATGTAGAAGGGTTGGTTGTGAATGCTTGACTTTAGGTTGAACTAGAGTTTTTCGAGATGCTTTTATCGACCTTGGGATAGGTAACAACATCTAACGAACGAAACGACAAAAATTCGGTAACCTTTCAGTAAAAACTGAATTTATGTAACAAAACCATTGTCAAAAGTCCTTTATTATATGTACAAAACTGTCAGGCAGTTCTTCTTTACATAAATTTGAACAAAAACGTCGAAAATTGAGGATGAATCAAGAATGGGGCATGTGCATGATCACATTTTCGGGAAGCATTGACTGGGGGACTAGCGGCGGGCGAATGACTGGGTAGCCGAAAAGAGAAACGAGGCAGAGAAAGCGGAAAAGGGAGAAAAAGGAGAGAAAGAGGCCTGTTTTGGGGCAATTCGACGTCACAAAAGCAGAGATGTACTCTGCTGCGTGGCCTTGTTGAAATAAGGGTTTTGAAAGTGAAACATTGTAGCGAAACAATAAGGTAAATTTGGATCGTATCCGGAAGATTTGGGCTCGACACATTGGGCACGTGTTCTGCTTTAGCAAGCACGCATCCAGGCAGTCCTCGCAGAAGATGTGCGAGCATTTCAACTAAAGAAAAATTGGGATTTTAAGCTTTAAAAATAAAAGCTAGCTAGCTTTTTCTCTCTCAAACAGCCTGCTTTCTTTTTTTAATGCTATCCTTATATCATTATCCGGGAAAACCAAATTTTCCTTATTTAGAACTATTCCCTAATAGTAAAGACCTTACAAATTTTCAGTAAAAAATATGACAAAGTAGCTTTTTCGACCAAAAATTGTCGATTTTAGACAAAAAAAATTCAAATTGTAGACATTTTGCTATGTTATCTAAATAGTTTTTTCCGATTAAACTATGACGAAATCTTAGAAAACGCGAGAGAAATAGCTACTATCCAAAGCTTATAGCATTAATGTACACCCCCCGCTAATGAAAAAGAACCAAAAAATTCTCAAATCCGGAAGGTTACCTTAACCGGATTTCGCATTTGTGACCAGCACACCGCCCACGGCCTAGCATTGGACTCTTCATAGCAGGTCGAACCGCCAGCCAACCGTGCCTTCTTTCCCCCTGGATTCTGCCGCGACACGCAACGCGTATGCCATTTGACCGTCTTGAGAGGGTCGGAATCCATTAGGAGCAATTGGGAATAGGCTTGGAATGTCAGCAAGTGTCAGCATCATCATCTTCAAGGGGTTCAGGTGGTGGTGTTGGTGGTACTGGCTGACGCTCCGGCTCTACCTGAAAAACATACTTACGCTTAGCATTTTGCAGTCGGAGATAGTCGGATAATAGTTGATCGATTCGTAGATATTTGTAATGGGATTTAAACCATATGTACGAAAAAACGCGAAAATCGACCTCTACGCGCGGCTGAGTCTCGACAGATACGCGCCGCACCAGAACACGGGATTTTATTTTATAAGTAAAATTCAGCAGCAAACCTACATCCTCGGGCGCATCCGCCGGCTCATTTTCAATTTGGAAGGCGCGTGCTACGACGACTCCACGTCTCGCGACTTCATCAATGAATTGGCGACGGTCCTCTTCGGAGGTGACCGTAAAGTCGCAAACGGCCATCAGCCGGGGAGAAAATTGTCTGAAATAGGCTTTTAACGGGGCCGACAAGCCATGGATCTCCATGGATTTTTCCGCAGTCGTGGTACGCACGCATTTCCTAATCGATTACGGCCCCAAGTTAACGGTGGCTAGCGGTAGTCAAGCCGCGTGCGTTTTGCGTATCGCGTCGCGTCGAAAAATCGGTGCGAAATCCATAGCCAGCACGCTGGATAATCTGCCTTGTCGGCCCCTTTAAAGGGACCAGAAAGTATGATGATCGACCCCGCCCCCGACTCGGCGTCGACAACTAGGGGATACTCCAAATCAGCTCACACGAACGCGTCATTTGGCGCAACATGTAGTTTCGAGACCCAGTCGCAGAAAGGGGTCGATTTTGACGCCTTTCTAGCCCTTTAAAGTTAAGTTTTAACCGGGTCTCAAAAACCATCAATTTTATGGTGAAAAACGGGAACTTTCGAGTTTAGGCCAATATTCTCGGCAGAGAAAGACAAAATCTACCTGGCTTATCGCGAAAAGTGGCGGCTGGCAGCTGGGAGGGGCATGGAGACGTTTTTTGCGTGTCCATTCTGGTGATAAAATGAGCTTAACCTATAGAGAAATTTGGTCTTGAAAATGTAAGGAAAATGTTTAAAATGATAGAGCTTTCAGTTAAAACCGAACCATATTTTGAGCCATTGTCTCGAGAAAGCCTTTATTTTTTGGGTATCACAATTTCGCGGAAAGCCCTGAATTATGGATTGGGGGGTGAAATGGGAGAGGAGGGGGCAGATGATGAGAATTGAGGGCAGTCATCACAAATGCAGCATTTGCAAGATCACAATTTGTGGGGTGGTGGACTAGAGATTAGTGAAACGGAGGAAGAGAGAGAGAGAGAGAGAGAGAGAGAGAGAGAGAGAGACAAAGGGAGAGAGGGAAAGCGAGAGAGAGCGAGAGAGAGACAAAGGGAGAGAGAGCGAGAGAGAGACAAAGGTAGAGAGAGCGAGAAAGAGAGAGAGAGAGCGAGATAGAGAGAGAGCAAGTGAGTTATGGCAATCAACTATAATAATTTTGCTGTGGTGTCCGCCGCCGCCGCACCCAGATTCAACTCGAAGGGGAAAGGAGCTAGAGCTTAGGTCTCTTCGGATTCGGATAGAGCGTGGTCAGAAACCCCCAAACTGATAAAAAAATTGCTGTGGTGTCCGTCCGTCCGTCCGTCATGTCCCAGATTCAACTCGAAGGGGAAAGGAGCTAGAGCTTAGGTCTCTTCGGATTCGGATAGAGCGTGGTCAGAAACCCCCAAACTGTAAAAATTATGAAAAAGTTTTAATTTAAATTATTAAAATTAACTTTGAAAGTTTTTTCCTTAGTAAAAGGGGTGGGGGCCCGTCTCCCGGCAGGCCACGCCCCCTTTCCCTTCGCCCCTCTTCCCCAGGCCCCTTTCCCGCGCCCAGATAGCTTTTTAAGTTACTTTATACTTTTAATACTTTTTAATTATGTTATTTGTTATTTAAATCATCTAAAGCCATCGGGAAGGTATTTAGGTAGTTTTTGAAGGTTTCATGGGGTTCTGACCATCAGGAAGGTATTTAGGTAGTTTTGAAGGGGATTTCAGCCATGGGGTATCTGACTTTCAGGAAGGTATCTAGGTAGTTTTTGAAGGGGATTTCAGCCATGGGGGTATCTGACGTTATCAGGGGTATCTAGGTAGTTTTTGAAGGGATTTCAGCCATGGGGGTATCTGACCATCAGGAAGGTATTTAGGTAGTTTTTGAAGGGATTTCAGCCATGGGGGTATCTGACGTTATCAGGAAGGTATCTAGGTAGTTTTTGAAGGGGATTTCAGCCATGGGGGGTATCTGACGTTATCAGGAAGGTATCTAGGTAGTTTTTGAAGGGGATTTCAGCCATGGGGGGTATCTGAAGCCATCAGGAAGGTATTTAGGTAGTTTTTGAAAGAGATTTCAGCCATGGGGGTATTGATGGAGGTAGGAAAGGATGTGGTGGAGTGGGACATGTGGGGTAGCCCGAAGGCCAGATGGTTGCAGTCGCGAAGCGACTGTAACCATCTGGTTTAATATAATTTACAACATCATAAATACTTTCATAAACACACAAAAAGTTTAAGGCGGGGATCGGGAGTTTGGCACTTTGAGGGAGAAATGAAAGCTGTGACTTTTCAAGTCGAAACACGGAGACTAGACGGAAAATGGGGATAAAGCCGGGTGTAAACAAGTTTTCTGGCTGCCGTAAAAAAAGTGAAAAATAAATATTTCGATTTTAAAGGGCCTAGGAAGCCAAAGCTAACGGCAGTGGTTGGCAAAATATGCTTAAGACTACAAAAAGCGCCTACAATAAAAATTTAGGGATTTTGGGCAGGAAATGGCTTGTTTTTGACTTCGCAAGCCCTTTAAAAGTCACTAAAATTATGTTAGTACACTAAATACAGGTCAAACGGCCCTCCGATGACTCCTCAAAACATAGGGCATCTCATGGCGCTTCAGCACTTCCCTGGAATTGTTAAATTTTCAATTTTTAGCCCATAAAAATTACCTTGTCAGCGGCGGTGGGGCCATGTATTTTCTGGTTTTGTAGTAGGTGACGCGAACGTGCGTATCAGGGCGCAGGATTAGATAGAGGGTTAGCACGACGGTAAGTGACTAAAATAATTTTTTTGCCGAGGAACTGCCGTTTCTTACTTGGCACAGCAATACGAAGAAAAATACAACGCACGCCGCGCCAAAACCGATGCGTAGCGCGTTCCATATTCTTAAAAATTGGAAAATAACCCAGAAAGCTGGAAACGGCAAACCGAAAATGGCATCCGTCACATCGAATATCACACGTTCGGGGTGGATCTTGACGGAACACTCGAAAATCGGAGCAGCCGGCATTTCCTGAAAAGATTTTTGAAGCGAGAGAGAGAAAGAGAGAGAGAGAGAGAGAGAGAGAGAGAGAGAAAGAGAGAGGAAGAGAGAGAAGAGAGAGAGAGAGAGAGAGAGAGAGAGAGAGAGAGAGAGAGAGAGAATGGGAGGGAGACAATGAGAGACAGCTGAGAGGGCGAGATAGTTAGAGTGAGAGCCAGAGAGCGAGAGATAGAGAGAGAGCGACAGTCAGACGTACCACAACATCTGAACGTCTGCTGAAGATGATCAAGACTCTCTTGAACAATGCCTGGGCCCTGGTAGTAATGTTGCACCATGTAGTTCAAGGCGTCTGATAGCTCCATGTCAATCTGAAAAAAAAGTAAAAATAACGAAGTGGTAGCTTAAGCTTAAAAAATTAATTTTTGGTTGTAAATGACAGAAAGAATGGTCCTATGAACTCTTGCTGTCTCTGTTTTGTGTAGAAACGCCTGACGGAACCGAAATCCGAACTTTTTTTAAGAAACGTACCCCCTCTCGCTTGTAGAGCAAATAGATGCCAGAGCTGAGGGTGAAAATCAGCAGGATAAACACGAACACCGTGTAGACAACCATGAACGGCTTGGCATTGACGTTGGCGCCGCAACAGCCTTGAAAAGTACGCTATCATACGTTAAATGTTGGGAAGTTGATGGAAAGCTTTCGTTCTTGATTTTCTTTAAACTACCATAGCAACCACATCATAAAAAAAACGGATGGAAACACAAAGTTAACCAGGGGGGGAGGCTAATTTTAATTTAAGTAAGAAAACGTGAGCATGACTGGGCTACAGTAGCTTTCAGAACGAGAATCCCACAAAGATTCGGTATTTTTGTACACCAAAATTGCGTTTCCCACATAAAGAATAACTCCAAGATCTTGAATTATCATGCACTGAATTTTATAGCCGAGAAAAAGTAACGCCAGTAAAATTTTTAGTTGTTTCTCACGGTCGAACCAGACCAAACTACCTTTTTTGATTTTTTCATTTTAAAGCATGGTTTGGCCATAAAATTCAGAATGAGAACTCTGGGAAATTCGCGGAAAACTTAACGAAAGCGGCTTGTAACGTAATGTTTCTTTACAAAAAACCACTTACCAATGACCGACACGACGATCATAAACGCTCCGAGGACGATGAGAATATAGGAAAAAACGTAGAGGGTTGGCGCCTCCCAAAAAGCTTCTTCGACTACGCGACGATACCTAAATGGCGGCGTTTTGAAAATTACAGAATGCTTTTGCTCTAGAAATCCCGTAAAAAAATACAACTTACCGTTCACTCAAAAAATCTCGGAATCTACTGTCTATCCGTAGCCAGGCGCCCATGACAAGGATGACGGTACCGACCACCTAAAATATCGCATTTTTGAGAACTTAGCAACGCCAGAAAGTAGAGAAATATCCGAGGTAACTTACCGCAAATACGACATTGCTGAAAAAGATGCCGTATTTGACCCACTGGACAGTGTTGGATTTGGTGAAATTGGAGTCGGTACTGCTAGAAATGGGCGGTTTTTATTCAGCTTGTAGTAATCGGGGTTAGCGGGCGTAGCCCCCTAACCCCTTTTGGTTTGAGGTACCCCCCCATACGACTCTTTTGGGGTCCTTTTCCGGATTTAAAAAAGAACCATGCATCGGATCGCCAAACTGAATACACCATCGGAACCGGCGACACTTTTTACATACCATAAGCGTTTAAAATTTGAAAAACAGTGAAATTTCGAATTTTAACAGCCGATTTAAATTGCGTTTCGAGGGGGGGGGTCTGCGTTTGTATGTCTGTCTGTATGTACGCAAAACCTTTGTAGTCGTCAAAAAGTGCCTTCCCATGGTCCGTTTGGGCTGAAATTTTCCACATATATCGACTTGATGTAAATGAAGGTGAGGAAGAAGCGTTTTTTTCAAAATAGGCTTTTAAAAAATTTTTATCTAATTTTTAAGTTTAAAAGCTAAATTGCGGCCAAAACAAGGGTTAGTGATGTTCGTTTGGGCTGAAACTTTGCTCAAATATGCATTAGACCATGCCGGAGTAAGTAAAGAAGAAACTGTATCGAATTAATGCTTCTCCTTTGAGTTATTATAAGTTTAAACCTCCGCCATACGGGGCGCCACCTCCCCTTTCTCGGCCCCCAGTCCCCGGGTCAGCCAGGCGGGTCTAGGTCCCCCAAAAGAGGCCTCTAGTCTCCCGGTTGGCCTAGTGGTTAGCACGCTGTACTTGGGAAAATTGTCCCCCGGGTTCGAACCCCGTCCGCGACATGGTTTTTGCCGATTGGCCCGAATGCATCGTTATGGTTGCTAGTACCACTACAAAGCGCCGCAGGCAAAATTTTTTGAAGTACTGCGTACAAGGTTTTATATGTATAAATATCCCGTGGCTTATTTTATGATCTTAACAACAAAAATGAGGCAAAAAGGGCTTTTGGTTTTCGCAAAGAGACGTTTGTGGCAACAAAAGTGCTAAATTCTTTCAAACTCTGAAAAATGCCACAAAATGTGGGATCAACCAAAAGTTGCTGGCACCTTATTAAATGGGGATTTATCTAGTTTTTAGCCGTTTCGGCTTGCAAATAATTCGGTATTATGATCCATTTAGGTTTTCTTCAATTAATCTGTAGACCTGACCTGTAATCTAGAACAGTCCCAAGTTTATTAAGATTTGAAATAGCCAGCAACTTTTTGTTGTTCCCCATTTTGTGGCATTTTTCAGAGTTTGAAAGGAATTTAGCACTTTTTGTTGCCACGAGAATTCGTCTCTTTTTGCGAAAACCAAAAGCCCTTTTTTAAAAAGACTCTTTTTAGCCTTAGAGTAATCCTCTGGATAGAATTACACGGTGTGTACGATTTTTCAAAATCAGTTTTCAGGTCACGGTTCCTTTCAAAAGTAATAAACAAATACCGAAAACTAGTGCCAAAATTGGTCGTGATTTTCCGTTTTTCATTAGGAAAATGGGCATATTCGCGGTTTTATAATCACTGATATCAATTCCTACCTGTCATTAGAAAACCTGGGCCTATGGGTTCGGCCCTCTGAAGTGAAATAGCTGCTAGAATAAGTATCATCCGTTATCGTCGGCTCAACATAGCGTGGCGGGTAGCCCATAAGAATCGGGCTAAAAAAATAGGGAATTTGATGGAAACTATCGAAAAATATGAGCAACAACAGAGCAAGGCAGAAAACAACAAAAAAAACTAAAAAGCGACATCACAACCATTGGATGGTGAGAAATCGTCAGAAGGTCAAAGATGGTCAGAAAAAATGTGATTTGTTTCAGAATGTACTAAGAACTTCTGTAAGGAGCAAAACTTTAGAGAAACCGTTGACAATTTTTACTGTTTAGAAACCATAGTCCGGCAAAAGAGAGCGAGAGCGATAGAGAGAGAGAGAGAGAGAGAGAGAGAGGGAGAGAGAAAGCGAGCGAGAGAGAGAGTGAGTGAGAGAGAGCAATAGTGCGAGAAATTTGCAAAATCATGCTCCGGAAAGTCCAATTTCCCCTCGAAAACAGCTGACAAAGTAGTACTTGTGAGTAGCTGAGCTTTTGACTACCTCGTGACCGTCCCGAGATTTCATTAAGTCTTTTCTCTGGAAATCATGATCGGGGAATCCCTCAAAATTGAGGGAGAGCCAAAAATGAGCATGAGGTGAGACGAGATGAGAACGGGAAAAACGTATCCACGGACGATCAAGGTAAAAAAGTAGACAAGGGAATTGTTGCAAAATCCATGGGGGAGAGGTGTCCCGCATAATAATGAGAGAGCGAGAGAGAGAGGGAGAGAGGGAGAGAGAGAGAGAGAGAGAGAGAGAGAGAGAGAGAGAGGCAGCTAAGATTTTTACTAGGATTATAGCTGTTCGCTCCTAATAATTGGTGACAACCGGGCTAGCGCGCCGCGAGGGAGCAGTCAAAATCAAGAGGTAGAGGCGAGAGAGAGCGAGAGAGAGATACAGGTGAAAGCGCATGAGTCAGGTGAGGGGCTGGACGCGACGCGCGCCAGCCTGCAATTCCCAGATGCACAGGCTTCTCCTGTTTCTCCGGCTTCTCGCCGTCTCTTGACCCTTTCATTCTCTGTGGTCTCTCACTACTGACCACTCTCTCGCTCTCGGCGGGGAAGTCTCATGCAAATGGTTGGCAAACATCGGGCGGGGCGATGGTGGGTGGGGGCCCCCCAGGAATAGAGGAGTTCGATGACGACGAGTGGGGGTATAGAAGGATCGTAGTATGATTCTTTGGCCGATATTCGAAAGATTTTCTCGTTTTTAAGGGGCTAGGAAGCCAAAATAGCAAACTGGCCTTAATGGTATCTCGGAATGCCTCGAAAAACTTTAAAAAGTAATTCGCCACAATATTCTAGAAAAGTGGAAAAATTGGCAAAACAAATTTCTGGCAGTATGAATCACATGCCTTTTTGGCATGGGCCCGGACACGGGGTTATCGGGAATCGTGAATGCAAATATAAATACGAAATGAGTCGCACACAGCCGGGCCTCGATTTTTGGCCGAGTTCAGTGGAAAGAAGTTCGGAATCAAGCCCATAAAATTCCGTAAAAATTGGAGATTGTCTATCAGCCAGAAGGATTAAGTAACTAGTCAGCAGCAGAGTCGACCTCCTCCATCGAATAGGTGTCGACAGCTATTCGATTGACGCTCCATGACTACGATAGTATCGCGGAATTTATCCTGATTTTTCGAAGTGACTATCCCAAGTTTTTTGTCTTGCTATACATGTGCTTTATGCGTCTGAATATGTTTACAAATTTATTTGCGCTTTGAAATCATATTCTGTTTGTTGTTTTGTTTATCATTCATTTGAGTTGATGCATCAGGCGTCCCGATTTTCTTGGTCGTATATTTGTTCGTGGTTTTGTTTGGCTAAAACCGATATTGGTCACTGGAATTTAAATCTACCGTTTTGGTGGTTTTCGACCATCGGCATCCTGCATTCCCTCCACAATTGCTTGATGTTCCTTTGCTAGTTCTTTCATCCTCCAGATCTCTAAAATTTATAGCTTTAGCGTTTTCGCACCAATTATTTTACCTTTTTCGGAATCCGAAATGTACTCGGCTTCTTGCTTGCATTTTGCCTGTAGCTCGTCCAATGCTTCGTTTAGACCTTGAACAGGACTGTAAAAATATGGGTTTCTTTTTATTATTCTTTTGTAAAACTTACATTTGCCATTTCGATCGAACCAGATATTGGAATTCGGTGGCCATCGCGTTTGGTAGGTTTGTCGGCCAAAATAAAGTTTTGGAAAAGATTTTTATAAATAAGAAAAAACGGTAAGAATGTTCAGTAGAAATTTCTTTGTTGTTTGCTGGTCTTTAATGGGACGGGCCGACCATTTTCCAGGAATCGGTTCTTTCGCGTTGTTCGTCTTTTCAGCTCTTCTCTGTAGAACGTTGTGCCCTAGCTCTGCCCTATTCTCGACTAGTTTTCTGTCCGTCGTTGTTGCGTTCTCTCTTTGTTGCGTGGTTCGGAGTTCCTTTGACTTCTCTCTGGTAGGTTAAACAGCCGTGGGGGCCCAGTGATGAATTGGCTTGGCCATTGGCGAGGCAATTCAACCTTACCAGAAAAACACATTGTGTTTGGTAAGTTTTAACCCTATTTAAAGTAGAAAATGGTTAGAAAAATTTTCCAAAAAAGTAGAAGATTTGGTCACTTTCAGTCGATTTTTCGAAATTGGTCGAAATTTTTCGAACTAAAATAAAATGTTTTCATTAAAATTTGCATAGTTTTTATGCGTAGGAATAGTTAAAAACAATTTAGAAAGGCATCCGCTATTTATAAGAAAATTTAGGCTTGGGCCGAAAAGTCTCTATACGTTTAGAATTTTCTCCCTTTTTATGTAGGCAAAATTTGCTAGCAAAGATAGCTCATTTGGTGCTTAAACGAAACCCAGCTTCTTTCGTACGGTATCGTGTCGTCTCGTATATTTTCTTTGATATGTGTAAATTCCGCCTTTTTCTATGTGACCAATGATTTATTAATATTCCTTAAATCCATAAAAAACATCAGTACAAAACGGTACACCAATATAATGCCATTTTCTAACGGGCTAACCATAATAACCAAATACGGGATGAGCACGGGCTACCGGGGAGGCTGAGGTGATTTTTGGTGATTATTCGAGAGGTGGAGGGGAAAGAATGGAGGGAAAGAAGGGATAGAAAAGTAGAAAAAAACATAGAAATCGCAAGGCTGCTTCTAACCGGGCCACTAACCAGAAAAAAAAAACTTGCAAAAATGCGCCTTGAAGCTTAAAGCTAACCGTAGGTATTGCGGGGGGTAGAATTAGGGTTAGAAACCGAGTTTCAAGTGCCGATAGGAGCGTAGCGTCGCGAACAACTATCTTTCATTCAAAATTTATACTTTTAAAGGAATTTCACTAGCCATATTTCGATTAAAAAAATGGATTCCGCTAAGTTACGCTCCAAAAAAACCCTTAAAACTACGAAGCGTGGCTATAGGAGCGCAGCGTAGCAGAATCCTACTTCAGCCAAAATCAGCCTTCAAACAATTTTAGGAGGCTTTTTTTGGTCAACAGAAATCTGATTTCGCTACGCTACGCTCCGGAATACACCTTGAATGGCTAGGTGTCCCCCAGGAGCGTAACGTAGCTTCAATTTGTATAAATTGTGCTTTACAGCGATGAAGCTAGGCATTTTGCGTATTCCACTACGCAACGGTCCATTAAAAAACCGACTGTCTAGGCATTTTCTGTTTTACAAGCTAAAATTACGCGCATTCCGGAATGCTACGCTCCAAATTACACCCCCGAAACCCTTGAATTCTACTCCATATTTGGTTCTATCGATTTTTTTGGGGTAATAATGGTACAAACTACAGGAATTCTACCGGATCCAAGATCAAAAATACTTAACACAAATTTAACGGCCCGCAAACGGGGCAAACGAGAATTGATACTGGGGGACCATGTCGAACTGTTCCTCAGCAATTGCTCTCTCCACCGTATCCAGACTGTGGATACCAGTCAACATCAGACACGACGAGAACCCATTCCGGTTCGCGAACAGAATATCCGTGTCCAGACGATCGCCGAACATGATCGTACGCGACGCGTCAATTTTCCCGTGACGCTGTAGGTATTCGGCGACGGTCGAGTGGGGCTTGCCGAAGACGAGGGGCTCACGGTCAGTGACGGCACGGACGGAAGCCGTGATGCAACCCGTGCCTGGAATTTTGGGTTTCCATGGGAGGCAGAGGCGCAATATCTTAATTAAGCTATAGTTCTTAGGTGTCAACAGGAGCGTAATGTAGCTAGATAAACACAGAAAAATCGCAACCATTATGCTCAAGAGGTTCCAAAGGATTCTGAAGCCAGGACTGGCTTAAGCGTAGTGTAAGCCAAAAGTTCTGCTCGACTCAAAGATATTATGAAACGTTGCCTTAACTCAAATGACGCTTAAAATTGGCGGATTTTACGAGAAACGGAGGTTTGGAGTCCGTTTCAAACAAAACTCTAAGCGTCAATTGGAACGTAGCGTAGCTAAGGTTATCATAAAAGGGGCAAAAAGGGCCAAAAGGTTGTTCGAACGTTCCCAAATTAGAGGTTTGTTTGAAATTCAGCTACGATACGTTTTTGGACAAGATAACCGAAAACTTATCCTTGAAATCGGCCGATTGGTTTCCGTTAAGAGGAGCGTAACGTAGCTAAAATTCAGGCAAATTCAAAAAAATCTAAAGCCATGGTTCTAGGTAATTTCTACAAGGCTAGGAGCCTGGCATTAGTTTGGTCGTAAAAGTCCTTATTTTTATCCTCTTTTTCTTCGACCCACCAGGCACAACGATATCACTGCACGGCCCGGGGAACGTGTAGTCCTCGTTGGTGATGAAGTAGCCGCAATCCGCCTCTTTCAAATAGTTCGCGGCTCGCATCAATTTTGGGTAGCTAAAGAGCTGATTCATGATGAAATTATTTTTGTGGAATCCACCTGAAGTGACCATCAAATCCGATCACGACAGCGGCCACATTTTCCTCATTGCGGACATCGAAGAGGAAATCTCCATCAGTCAACTCGTCGAAATGGTCGGGCTAAAGTTTTTCATTTTTTATTAACTATGAAAATTTGAGAGAATTCAGTCCTCATTTGCGGCTAGAAGCAGGCAAACCAGCAGAGAAACTTTTCGGAAATCGTAAGCTGCCGTTCTGGCCGGCAAGCAGTGATTTTTCCGAATTTCTATGCTCCGAAAATGAGCATGAAAGGGCAATCTAGCAGAGAATCTTTGAGGAAATTCGCAGCTCCCGTAGGAACGTCTTAAAGTCTTAAAACCCACCCCCAATCCGATACATTTCACCCCAGCGATATCTTCAAGCGAATCCCGAAGTGATGGCGTGCCAATCAAATAAATTTTCTTCCCCTCGTAGCCGTTGTCCTTCAAATATGATGGCAGTGTAATGCCGGGCGAGATTATGTGATTCTAAAACAATGATTTTGCATTAAAAACGTGCCACTTACCTCCGGAAAATTAAAGCCCATGCCCATCAGCTTCTTCTGGTACTGCGGGCGGGTTTTTGTGCTGTTGTTCGTGATGACGTACACTTGTTTACCCTTAAAATGCATAAATTATATAGTTTTATTAGTTTTCAACTTTCAAAATCTGTGATTCAAATAGTCATAATCAGTAGTTTTTAATTAATAACTTTTTTTTTAGTTTTTAACCTTCAGAACTAAATGATTTTTACAAAATTTAAATTGGTTCCCGCTACATATGTACTTTCTATAATTATAATTAAACCCAACCTTTTTCCTAAGATCCTCGATGAACTCGACCGATCCGGGCACCGTGTTCGAGCCGCGCCAAAGAACACCTGAAACGGAAATAGGTGGTTAAAGTACAAATTTGTGCATTTTTGGGATGTCTAGACCTTGTTTTCGCATGAAAATCTGCTCCCAAATTTGCACGAAAATAAACCAAAAATCTCACAACGCCAGACAAGTCTGAATTTTGCGCCAGTAGAAATTTCTGACGGTAAATTGCTAAAAAACGTTTGACCTACCATCGGCGTCGAACAGAAACGTGTCGAACTGGCTGAGATCGTCCACCCGTAGACGTTTGACAGTCATTTTCTGACTGAAAAAAGTAACTTTATGTACTGTAGAAGACCAGAAATAAATAGAAAATTAGATGCATCAAAATCGAGGGAATCGTAGATTTTTAAAAGTGTTGCTCTAATGGTTCGGCCTCGATTTTGTTGTGATTTTCTGAAGGTCTGCTTTCGTCGACACAGAAAAAGAAGGCTTTTTAAAAAAGCTGGTAGCAGGGATCTCCAAAGAAATGGCTTTTAAAAATCGGGGAAACCTTCAAATAAAAATAGATTTTCACTTTTCGAACCTAACAGCGCCCTTCAAAAAAAACAACTTAAAAACGGTCAAATCCTCTAAAAATCATAATTATATGCTTTTCCGGGCCGAAACGGAATGGTACGGAGCGAAACGGAACGAATTTGACAACTAGGAATCTCATGGTAAAATATTTCCCGTTCCAAATTATCCATACCGAAAAGTGATGGCAGATTACTTCCCGTTTTAATACAAAGCAATGCTGAATGGGCGGCGGGAGCGGAACTGGACGAATTGTACCCGACGACCGGTTGGGATGGCTTGGGAAAATCGGCCGCCCAGGAAACGTTCTCATTCATTGTCACAAAAACACAAACAAGAATCTGCTTTTGGTCGGCCCTGGGGCAAGGCGCGTGACCAAAAAAGGACAATAGGCCGGATATGGGGAGAAGAAGAAGCCTAACGCCGAAACAAGGGCAAGGCCGGAAGTAATTAATGGCAAGGGCTATCGATAAATTCCTTTTTGGAGGTAGAATCGATAATTAGGTTCCTCCACAGTATCGGGGGACCGACTTTTTTCTACGGATTTATTAGAAAAAAGTCCAAATATATCGAGCAAAAAACCCAAGAAAAATAGATTTTCCAGGCTAAGAAATACACCAAAAAACGCAAAAAGCTGACAAAAGTAACCAAATTCACTCTGTAACCTAAATTCCGTGAAAAAGCTATTTGAAAAATTGACTTCCCAAGGATAAAAATATGCTAAAAATGCAAAATTAAACCAATTATAGAATAAAATAAACCCTCTAACAACAATCCCATGAAAACATTGATTTTCTCAGCGCTCCAGGCCACCGAAAAGTGCCTGGGCCAGCCAGTGCCGGAAATCTCCGGTGTCTCCCCGAGCAAAT